TTCAGATGTGATTAAATCATTAATTTTACACAAATCTAAGACATCGTTAGCCAAACATATTTGTCGAGACAAGTGTTGCGAGCGCTGGGAGTCTGAGTCCAGTGCCTGTATTCGCGCCAATAATAGCCTAACATTTGTTTTATCGGTTTCGCGTAATTCATTGAACAGGTCTTCCGACGCCTTTCCCTTTAATCTGAAAAAACATTAAAGCAATTAAAATAAGAGAAAATATTTATTTCACAGAATATTCTGTTACTTCGAAACCCAACTAATCTTCAAATCACTGACAGCTGTACTGAACTGATCTTCCGATGGTATCTTAGACTCGTTTTCATCCACTTTTGTGGCACTACTTGCAGACTTGACTATGGGTTGGCTATCGACAACATATTTGAATTGAAAGTCCTCGGCCATAAATCTGGTGATGCCGTCAGCGAATTCCATACGACCCGTGAAATACGAGCCGTTAGTAATAGGTATGTCCGGTGGGTATGACACCAACGCCCTTATGAATACAGACGTTGGTGTGTCCGGTCGGAGTGGCAGCCTAAATATACGTCGGGTGCTGTCGGTTAAAGCATTTCGATACGTATCGTATAAATCCAGTGACTTGTTTACAGTGTATTGAATGTGAAACGGGAGTTGGCATAACCTTTCCCATTGGGAACTCATTGTATGTTTTATTTGCACTTTTATTATGTAATCTCCCTTTTCTAGTCGTATCTAATTTTTAAATAAACACCATTTTTTGATACAGTACTTTCTACTCGTGTTAAATAATAATTTGAATGTTAATAATATTAATGTTAAATATTTACTGATGAGGGTAAGCCTAGGCCGGTACCGATATATTGCTTGGTGTCCGAGTTGAATATCATCCACACCAATGATATATATTCCGGTCCATATGTCAAGTCATATCCATATAAGAGTGACAATGAACTTATCTTAACATCCTGACCCTTTGTCTAAATTAATAAAATTTATTACCTATGTATCATAAAACAATAGTCTGAATGGCAAACCATTTTCAAATTATAAGTCAACAAAACTTCGTATAACTGCTGTGCGGGTGGTATGACATCACGACTGTCTAGTGGGCGTAATTTGCTATCAATTGGCCTAGTTTATATGTAAATATTTTATTATTTAGTATACAAACATGATTGAACCGGCTTATTTTCATACATTAACATCTGTATGAAGTTTCTAATGGTAATCCTGGGCGTAATTTCCTCGACATCGAAATTACTCTGAATGTCAATTCTGGCGATCATTTCACTAGAAAACTATAATTCACTCATTAATTAATTCCTAATCATATCTATAATTACTGGCAAACCATAGTGAATGAGTCGAGTGAGGGCTGGAGTCCGTGAAACTTGATATCTAATTGAATCCTATTATCGGCCAAAACTTCGTACGTCTGTCCGAAACACACTTCCAGTGTTCGCGAGGTTTTCAAATGAAAGGCAAATGTGGTCTCGTTTTGAGCTCTCAGTGAAAAGCTTTTATCCATTTTATTAATCTGGAGTGAATTGAGTGGCCGCACTTGTAATGCCTGCAAAAAACAGTCGATCTCATCCATGGGCTCGCAGTTCTTCACGCGTACCACCATTTGTGTCACATTTGCCGGAATATCAATGAATTGGCGCCAAAAATAACCCGGCTTATAAATCTGTGTGCTTTCTATAATTTGTGTTTCCGGAATTCTTAAAAATAGTAAATGACAAATTTTTATTAAAAACAGTTAATATTTTAAAAAATGGTTACTTCATTGGCTTTATGACAGTTACGGGAATTTGAAATACCGGCCCCTTTTCCACACAGTTTATATCATAGGCTTTAATCTATTGTTAATTTTGAAATTAAGTTTACGTTTAACTCGTTAATGATTAATATTAGATTTATAATTACCATGGCAAAGTTGGCACAACCCTCTTGGAGGGGTTGAGGGTCAACCCTAATGGTGACCTCCCTTGTTGTGTAAGTCATGTGCAAAAACTCTGCACAAGTAATCCACTCGTCGTCGCAAATAAGTCTTAAATTGATCTCAAAATCTACTTTTCGTTTATTATCTGAAATAAAGTCAAAATTTATAAAAAAAATTTAAAACGTATAATAATAAACAAAATACCCATTTGTTTGTGATTCAGAAAAATTGGTTCAACTTTAATGATATGAAGGGATGGGTTGATAACATCGATGGCTTCTCTCAGATAAACACCTAATCCCTGTCCACAGGTTATGTGAAAACGGACGTCCATTTCCAATGAATCCTTATAGTGAATCAAATGTTCAAACGCCTTTTCAACCTGTTTATTAAAATTGACTATTGTTTTATTTTATAAAGCTATGTTAAGAGTGACCTGAATCAGTCCGTGTCCATGGGTGAGGGGCTCGTAGTTTTCAATTTTAAGGGCAGTGTTTTCAATAGCCCGGCGCACACTATAGAGCGAGTACTCGACATTCAATGCTTTGACACCCGATAATAAGAGACACAGACATCCGGCACAGTTTGGGGCACTCATTGACGTCCCGCTCATTAACTCGGCTCCCATTAGTTCACACGTGGGCACCGATGTTATGGCGCCTCCCGGTGCGCATACCGTTACACCCAAATCGCCGGTTAAACTGGTAAAACAAACTTATAACTAAAATATTATTGAGTTTTTCAATAGCGCGTACGTAGGGCCCCGGGATGTCCAGTGATACATCAACCCTGGTATTTGTTTATTCAGCGAATAGGCGGTTGTCATCATATCGGGGGAGACGTAAGCGCCGACACTTATAAACGATTGCGAGTGTACTGTCCTTATCATGCCTACGGTGGACAGGGAGGGTCCGTAATTACCGGCTGATTTAACGCACAAAATGCCGTATTTGTTGACCACTTTACTCATTAGGTCTAAAACAGGGCTAACGTAAACCAAATTGACAAAACATCTATGTTATAAATTGACTAATTTTTATGGGATAGGTATGTGAGAGAAACCGACCCATCAAAGTAGTGTCTGGACATGTCATAACTCATATTAATGACATGACATCCCGTTTCGATTACTTTATTAAGTGCTCTGAAATACATTATAATTTGTATAACAAACTAATATTATATACATTTTTGGTGTAAATATAGACCTCACAAGACTGGACCCATTATATCGTATACCAAACATACAGATGCTGACGATCTGAGCTCCCGGTGCCACACCATTCCTATCGGGATCATTGGGAAAGTTAGCCGCGGCTATACTGGCCACGTGTGTGCCATGAGATGCTGTCCAGTGAGCAAGTTAATTTATTTGCAAAACCAGTATTAAATGTGTGTATATATTACAGCTCATTGTCACGATTTCCAATAGGTTTCCCTCGTTATGGATATTTATGCCATAGTTTAGCAAATCTGTGCAAAAATATTTTAAATAGTATTTTTTATTTCCAACAAAAAGTAACCACCTCTATCAGAGATTGTTCCGTACGTTAGGCATTCTCTATAATTGCCTAATAGTGTACAGTCTTCTAAGCTACCGGTGCCACTCGTATGTATAACAGCCCTGTGTATAAAATGAATTAAATTTATGAGTTTAATTATCAATTCACTGAAAGTTTTATATTATATTAATATCATTATTTAATTCAAGCCTTACATCCAATGGGATCCGTCACTAAATACCACACAATCACAAGTAGGGCCCAAATCCTTGAACCCTATCATGGAGTTGGTCTCCATTTCCTTCAGGAAATCCATTTTTGATTTCAAGTCTTCACGAATCAGTTTCTCATCGAAAGTGTCATTTGAAGCGTTCGGGTGTTTGTCCTCAAACTCCTGGAGCTCTCGTACCGCCTCAGCTTTGATAGTGGTATGGGTGGGTACCAAATGGGTTTCCCTATACTCCCGGGCCATCCGAGTGCCCACTCCTTCCGGATATAATTCATACATATTTTTCATTCCGATGTGATATTTGCCCGAAGGGTTCACCCAATGGCCCGGTATCTAAAAAATAATAATTTATTATTTACTAATATTTTAAAATAATTTTAAAAACTTTGAGTTTAGTTCCGGTGAGCCCAGTAATAAATCCCTGTCCATCGGCCTCAACCACAGTACTGGTGTCCACATCACCGGCACCGGTAGCGTCCATCATATCTATGATTTTTGGTTTACCATCGCTTGTAGTCTATAAACAAAAATATTTTTACTAAATATAAATCCTAGACCTTATAAAATACCTGTAGTCCATCAGCACCTGGGTCAACTCCAGAGTCAAGGATTGCAATTTTAATGCCTCTCCCATCATATTCAGGGTATTTATCTATGAATGACTGGGCAGTGGTTTCCCTTTTAGGTAGTAATGCCCATAAAGGGAACGACTCATTGACTACCGATGCGCTCATTATAAGTTATTTATTAAACTAAATTAATTCAATATTAATGTTGATATAGTTATTAAAATTTTCAATAGAAATGAAAAGGATTTGTGGCAAGATAATTTAAGATATAATGTTTGTATTATAATTATATAACATTTAAACGAAAAAAAATGATTTATTTATTTAATATAAACATATCATATATTACTCCGTAATCTTTTAGTGACGACAAACCCCTATAATTATTCATATTTAAAATAAAAGTCGTGAAAATATTATCACTATTTTGTATTTACAGTATATACATTACAAATTAAATAAGTACTGTACCAGTATTACAAAAAGTATATTATTATTTATTTTATTACTGTGTAAGATTAAGAATATAATTTTAAAAAAATAAAGTTAAAGATATAGTTGAACATTATTTTACTAATGATTACAGCTTGGTATTAATATTTAATAAAACTGCACAATTGATTTTGTCATAAAAAAGAGTACGGTTATTAAAGTTATATTCAAATTCAGATAATCTTGAGAAAAAATATGTTTGGCTAACGATGTCTTAGATTTGTGTAAAATTAATGATTTAATCACATCTGAAGTGATCCTAAAGAAAGAGTCAAATGATGACAACAAACAGGCGCTCAAAGAGTCCGTAAAAATAATCTAATTTTAGTCACGATTTAAAAGATTTTATTTTATTTAACAAATAGTTTGGAAACAAAAAAGTCTACAGTTTTGGAGGTACTGGTGAAGAAAGGGATAGCCATTTGTGACCTCATCGATCCACAAACCAAACCTACAGTAACCAGTGGTGAGGACATACCTGTTCCCAATGGTGATGCTACCGGTGCTGTTGACACTACTACCTCTACTACAGTGGAAGGTGTTCCACAGTTTACACAATCGGATGTGAATGATGTGTATAAAGATATTTGCAAACTAGTGGCCGATCCCTACGATTATAAGGTTAATGCGTTTACGGAAAGGCATGCCTTATTGCACCGGCATTACGGCCGGGCACTCAAAATATATTCAAAACGATTTGATTCGCTACCAACTATTTCTGTGTATCGTAAAATGATCGAGGTATCTAATACATTTTAATTAGTTTATGTTAATTTTAATATTTATGTCTTTATCCTAACTGATCCAGGTATTTAAAAACTTGGAGTGGACTCACGCCGAAAATCACTTAAATCGCATTTCTAATGCTATGTTTCCCAAAGATTACCGACTATTTTGATAATTTATAAATTAAAAATTAACATTTCAATAATTTTAAGAATTAAATATATACTTTTTTAATATTCATATAAATTGATATTTAATTTTTTATTGTTTAGTATTTTTTAGTGTTTTTAGTGTTTGTTTTAGTAATAATTTTGCCCAATTTATAAATTAAATAAACAAATTTTATTGATAACTATTACATAAGTAGTGAATTGTAGAAAATCATGGATTATTTCCACATAACATAAATATTTAAACATTTTTATGTGAATTACTTACTATTACAGTATTGAATTACTACATATAATAAGATTGAGATAATGCCGTAATATACCGTAAAAATCTTTCAAAACATGTCTATAAGTATGACATATAGAAGTAGTATACAAATTAATTCATAATAATTTATTACATTTACGGTTGGAAAATACCAATAAGCCATAAAACCTATTAATCTATAAATATTAATATAAGTATACCGTAATATAAGGTATATAATATAGTATAATATAATATTATACAAACCATTACTATTTAATTTGATCTATATTTGACATGTAAAACAAAAATTGTTATAATATTTTATGAAATCATCATTTGACATACATGGTATATTTTAATTTATTACTATTATATCGCAATTTAAATCTATTAATAACACAAAAAGACAAAAAAATTTCCAAATGATAACCACTTTATAAAGTATATAAAGGGCTACAATAAACACATCTATTATATCTAAAAATTATTATTACTTTTGTTTTATTATTATACCTCAAATAGTATTAATTATGAAATTGTTGGCAGTTATCATGATATTAGCCATCACTTCATCGGCATTTTTGGTGGAGACTGAAGCTCAAGACAGTTCCGGAGGTATATTACCCGGAATTAATGTGCCACCCCTGCCCC